AATGTAAGTACTTCTAGTTGTAAAACTAGATACAGTGGCGTAACAGAACTAGTTATTTTTGAACAACTGATGTAACGTAATCAAACAGTTTCGTCATATAGATAAGGGTTGCATAAAATGCTGTATTTATTATTTCAATCATGTTTTGATTATAAAATTACATCACAAACATACGCCACCTTCAAATAAGCAGGGAATAACAGGGAATTGAGTGTTGAAATGTTGTAAGGTTGACAGCAGCGGCTAGCAGGTAGCTTCGCGGTTGTGATTGGCTCTCTACTATAACAAAAACGCCTTTTTGTATTTGTAATATCTAAGGAATAGGATTTTATTGCTCTATTGACAACTTTCTCTTCGTCTACATTCATCCCACAGTGTTTTTAGTTATTTCATTGTCCCATCATAATCAATATCAGTGAATGTAAATAAATAGTTAACTAGCTTAGTGATCCAATATTTTTTCTGAAAAAGGGGTTGGTTGGGTACAGGATCAATTAAAAAAAAATTGTTTTTTCTTTCCGACGTTTCGAATTTAATTAAATTCTTCTTCAGAGCTCGAAAAGTAGTTTTTTCATGTTGATGATAATACTATTTTAAAAACCATCAGACATATCAGATACGTATTTAAAAAATAAAAAACATTGCAACAACAAATTTTCGAGACAACACCAACACAAAACGACACAAAAAGTACGTTAAAAATCGTTACCGCCGTACCTATTTTCAATACAATCATTAAAAATGATAAAATTTAATATGAGACCCGCCACTCGTCCCGCAGGCCCAATTCTCGTCGGTTTTCTCTTGACGTTTCCTGCTCACCGGTTCGGGGGCCCACCCGGCTGTCGGGCCCCCTCGCATTGCGGGCCCTGTGGGTCCCTCTGTTACGCCACTGACTGACACAATCGTGGATTATCACCTGAAGACGATTGTGGATAATCCATAATCGTGGATTATCACCCGAAGACGATTGTGGATACTAACAATCGAAACGTCGTGACATAACTTGATGACCAAACAGGGAAAACGTTTTCCCAAAGAATTAGAGATCATATAAGTAGTTTTGTAAATTGAAAGGCCAATCCCACATTTGTAAACCACCTTTCAGTAGAAGGACATGAGTACAATCATGAATACGACGTGTTACATGTAGAAGAAAAGTGTTTGAAACCCAATCTTCTAGAATGTTTAGAAATCAATAGATTCAGGAATTCGGGTAATTTACTGAATAATCAATTAGAATTGAATAACTCCCCGTTTATTAAAAAAGTGCCAAATTGTGAATCATATTTGCCCCATAACATTAAAAGTTCTTTGTAATTGCCGCGATTAATCGAATCTTCGGTTTCATCGTGTCCGCAAAAAGCTAATTCTTGGGCACCCAAATAAATCGTAATCGACCGTATCGTAAATTCGACCGATTTTCTCTAACCTGATTATTAAAAGAGATTATGGCCTCTTTTTGAGCTGTATCTAAAGCTGTTGCTATAATTTGTTTGCTAAACAATTTTAATTCACAAGACGAAAATATATGCTCCTTAGATTTAAAATGTCTTTCTGTAGAACGAGGTATTTTTTTTAAATCGGAGTATCGCATTTTAGACCACGTTTGGTATTCGGTTTGTACGGAAAATATCACACAGGGCCAACAAAAAAGTTTTTCTCGTTTAATGGAGCCGGTTAACCAATCGCATTTATCGTACCAACTAATATTAAATCCTTGATGTTGTCGATTATCTGACGCTTCAATTGAAATTAAATTTGATTGAGGCCTACCCAGAGTTTTAATAATGTATAATTTATTATCATAAGATAAAGACTTAAAATCATTTGTCAGCAACCAAGAGACTATATCGTCAGATTTTTTAATTTCGTCCAACTTATCCATAATAAATGGAAAAAAATTACCGAAGAGTGAAAACCTGAAAATAGGTACCTTGAAATTGAAAGAAAACACTTTAAAAACACGTTAAAATATTATATTATTACCAAAAAGCACTGCTATAATACAATACTGCCTGTTTTATACACAAATAACAAATATTATCAAGAAACACTAAAACGATTTACCGAAATATTTTTCAGTCCCGTCGGTCACGGCATCCCGTCGGAATAATTAAATAAAAAACAAACGCAGTCGTACAAATCGGGACGTAAGTCGCTGGTTGGTTCGGTCTCGCGGAGCTTGTGTTTTTTAAGAAGGTCGGAGGCTTGGCTCCCTTGCAACGTATGACATTTATTATGTCGGTTTGATGGTTTATTTTTTATTCGTTCATGGGCGGTGCGTTTGACGTTTGTTGATGCAGGATACAGTGTTACGTACTACGTAGTGCGTGATAGTGTTTTTTCGGGCATGTTATGTATTTATATTAAAAATTAATGGTAAAGTAATGATAACCANCTGTCAAACTCTTTTAATTTATTGCGATGATAAACCTCAAATTTTATGGGGAGGCTAAGCCTCCCTTGTCTCCTCTGACGAGCCGCCGCTGGTACCTACCTACTCGTGAATGAGGAAGTTAATTATATCCTTCAACTGGATTGTGTTTCTTTCTTTGAATGCTTGGTCTTCACTTGGTCTTCCCCTGATAAGAAGAAACTGAACAACTTTACCCACGTTTTCATTGTCATGAGACTTCAACAGACTGGTATTATGTGAAGAACACCTTATAGATCTGAGTAGATAAAGAGTCAATTCCTTACCATTCACGAATCGCACATGAGTCAAACTTTGCAGATTTTTTTTTGGAAAGCAATATCCGCCAAAGTCGAACCTTCTCTGAGGGAGTTTTTGAAGTAGAAGGTCCAATTCTTTTGCAGCTTTGGTACATCTACATATTCACCTGTGGTCTACTCTCGACGACTCATAAGGTTGAAATGGTTTTATTCAACCTTTTTGTGTTTTGTGTACTCAGGCATTTGTTTTCAGACCTGAGGTCCTATTCAACTTCCTTGCATTACCTCTCTCTCTTACATTTCCTCAGGGCAATGTTGTATCTCTGCTTGACTAGGATGAGGTTAATTGTACGAAGAGATTATTGCGCTTCCTGTAATCGATTTGCTGACAACTGAAAGTCTAAAGAATATCTTATTCAAAACCCTTCCGGTCTGTGCAAATTTCTAAGTCGGCGTTGAACACATACTTGTGTGTGTGTGTGTGTGTGTAAAATTGTAGATACTACCTAATGTAACAATGTAATCTCTTTTCTTTCCTCTTCTGTCTTTCTCTTTGAATTTTATTTCGTCTCATTCTGATGGGTCTAGTAATGAAAAAAAGGTAAATGCAAATCGGTAACTCAAATTTAGTGAGATTTTTCAGGATTCATTTTCGATAACTTTTCACTTAAACTACTCAATTTTCTGATTGATTCGGCCGTTACTTGATGAAGATCCCTAGTAATTTCAAAAACTACACCTGTCTCCACAAACAAGTTTGTGGAGATCAAATCGTCAGGTGTAGTTTTTGAAATCAAAATTAGTTTGTTTGCAGATTTTTCAGGATTCATTTTCGATAACTTTTCACTTAAACTACTCAATTTCCTGATTGATTCGGCCGTTACTCGATGAAGATCCCTAGTAATTTCAAAAACTAAACCTGTCTCCACAAACAAGTTTGTGGAGATCAAATCGTCAGGTGTAGTTTTTGAAATCAAAATTAGTTTGTTTGCAGATTACACCTTGATATACTACTGTTCTTTTAACTTTAATGAGCTGAGATATAACTTTTGGTGTTTTTCGAGACTATTGGTAACTTTATGGGTGTTTTCAATATGATTGTTACATGAACTGTATACATAGGTCCAGATGAAGTCTGAACCACTCTGTGGCTTGCATAATGTGAATACTACTACTATTTCAAAAATTATTTAATTTAGTCAATTGTTAGAAAAATTGATTCACTTCCACAGAATTCTTGGTAAAACAAAAAGTGTACCTTTAGTTTTTTCGATATTGACGGTTTCAAATTGTAATGATATTTTCTGTAGATGTCATTTATATTTAAAAATAATCTTATTACACCCTTTTCAATATCCTTATGCAGTAGTTATATTTGTGCAGAGGGCACACATCTGTCATTTTCAAAAAATGTAATTTTAACCCGTCAAAAAATTGTGATTAGCAAGGAAAATCATTGTAATAAACATCCTTCTACAGTTCGATGTTCAAGAATAAAATACTGTGTGAAAAGGAATATAAGTAAAAGATGAAAAATCTCAAAAAAAAACACCTGCAGAGAAAAAAGTCTCATTTCACATTCTTCAGCAATAAAATAAAAATAAAAAATGCATGCATTTTCCTTCAGTTTTGCCAATATTCCAATTACATCAAAAGTAGAGCTGACTTAATTGCTCATTGCCTTCTCAAATCCTTGTCATTAATTTTTCATCAAAACTTGGTTAGAAACGACGAAAATTAAAAAATGTGTTTACGTTTTTTTACAATTAACGATAAATCATCTGAATTCAAAGTCATCATTTGTGATACACCCTACCCTGTATATATAACCACTAGGTAGGTACAGCTTGTCAAATCTAGTCTTGAGAATTGTGTATTTGCTTATTTTCGATTTATAACAAAATTATTTTATAAACCTCAAACATAGTTAACCAAAATTTCAGTCAAATGAACAGTACTGTTGTAGTTTAATTTCTGGAAATGTTTGACGTACCCCTTCGAATTGACAAAAGTTTATCATTTATGATTCAAGTGAAATAATTGAAAACTGAATGTTACGTGAACCTTACCACAATAGTTTAGTGAATGAACACCACACATAAATTGATGAAGCCATGTTTTTAATTTAGCGCATACAAACGCATAAACAAACATATGACGATCAGTTTGTATCAATCTAACAGCACATAAAAGTTTTATTGATCTCTTAATATTTCCACCCGTAATGCTCATGTAGCCTTAGTTTATTCTAGCTCCATTGATCGAGACTTCTCTTCTGATTACCAATTGCAAGCCAAGTTAATCCTTGAAATACTTTTTTTCAGAATACTTAAGAGTCAAAAGCTTTGCACCCGAACCTAGATCATCAAGGTTAGCATCACCATATGAAGACCGCGCTTTGGCAGATCCACCAGGTGAATGCAGACTCACTTGCGATCAAGAAGATGACAAAGGACATCTGCAAATTAGTTTCAACGAGAAGACACAACTTTTTGGGGTATTCAACAAAATAGATGAAGTAGCACTTTTCATCGACATAAATGAAAATTTGCTAGGAATTTTAGATGGATCGACTGGAAATATGTTTATATTAGATCTGAAATCCCCAAATGGTACTGGTGTATACATATATGGAGGCGCGGCAAAATTCAACAGCATTAGCTTTCAGTCGACATTTGAGACCTTCTCGAACTTGACGTCACTCAAAGTATTCCTGGATCCGAAAATTGGAAAAACGTTCACGTTTTCCGATATATCAGGCGATCTCTCGAATATACTTATCGAATCATTGATCAGTTTATCAGATAAGTTCGGACTTGGAATTCAAGGCAATATCAAGGCTTCATTGACCCTCCTTGTCAAAATAAGTCTTTCCATTTCGACGTTGATCAAAGGTTCTTTGAAAGGTTTCTTAGATGCCAGTGGAAAAGGCCTGATTAAGCTGCATGGAGACTTTGTTTGGTTAGGTGGAGTTCTCGAAGGACTCGGAGTATTGTTCGGCAATATCAATGGTGGTTTAGCCACACTCATCGCAGCTAAAGTTAAATTCGATTTATCCTTGATATTCGGGTCAAGAAACGGGCTGGAACTCTTCATCAACATCCTTTTCCCAATTGCCGCGAAAGGCAAAATAACTCTCCTCGCTGGTCTTCTCAACTGTACCGATAAACTTCTTGCTCTTATTGTCCAACTTGGAGGTAACGTTTCGACCGGAGTTACTGGAGTCTTCAAAATTATTTTATACATCAATGTCCTCATTCGCGGGGAAATCGAATTCAAAGTGTTCTTAAAGACCCTCTTGGAATTTGCTGCCTCTAGAACTTCCCAGAAGAGCATACATTTACAGATTTATATCGATGCTCTTACGAAACTAGTAGATATTTCGAAAGCATCCTCTTCGAAAGAATTGACGGAATTCGTCACTTGGGTGAACAATTTGCAGGCGGGAAAACTCTTCAAAGGCAAGCTCAATATTTCAGAAATCATCGTAATCTTGGTGAGCGGATCAGTAACAAATGCCCTGGTACTGGTCATTTCGGTTCTTCTGAAGCTGAAAGTGATCGTGGGATTCGGAATAGCAGTGACAATTCCCGCTCTACTCTTCTACCTAGTTCTACAACTGATAAGCCCTCATGGTCTATCTCTCCTGAAAAGTTTGGGCATTGAAATCAAAGAATATATAACCCCCGGTGACGTCATTTCAGGATTAACGAAAGGAAACAATATTCAATCCATCTTGAGCATCCTTGGAGGACGCTTCGACGTAGAAAAACTAGGGCGAGTATTCCCACCTTTTGGACAAATTTATCACAGCGTGTCTGTAGCTCTTCGCACATCGAGTAACGGGTCTTATGATCTGTCAACTCTCGTCAAATCTTCCTCGGTGCAAAATGACCTTTCGGTAATAATTAAAGGGATAGTGGATTTGGCTCTAACTACAAACGAGAAGTAAGCATCAAACCTTCTGGCGGATTTACCGGCGGAATTATCGGCGGAATTATTGATGGAATATTTGGAGGCGAGGGTAAAGGTAGTGCAGGAGGTTCAGGAAATGCTGGAGGTTCGGGAAATGCAACACTTTTTTAGATTTCTGAGCCCCTCCCTTCATGTAACGCGCCGTACTAAACTACCGGCAAGTCGCTAATATACCTTTGTTATTATGTTATTATTATTAAGTTGTTTTAATCGCGTTTGCTATAATGATAAATGAAACAAGATATTTTAAACTATACGCAATGAGTAATTTGTTTGTTTTATTTGACAATCACATATAATGTTATGAACATTTACTTGAGTATGTTAAAATTAGCTCAACTAATGAACTTTTATTACTCATCCAACATTCAGTTACTCGATTTTCTTGATTTGACCCTGTCCTCACATTTTTGGCTTTATATGAACATTTTTTTTTGCTAAACCAGTGTCCCTTGCTTCAGTAATAACATTTAATTTTTGTTGAAGCAGACCAATTTTCTTGAAAACAGTTTCTTGGTCCGGTTTGTTTGAAACGTTTTAGTAATGTACGAAACCATCGAAGTCGTGTGTAGGTCCGTAGACAGGATGTCCATATTGTCCACTATTTCTTTGTCAGTAATTTCACTTTGTTTATTATGGGTATAGCTCATTTTTCGTTTGATGGCAATGCTCTCTCTTCTGGAGACTCCGACAATCGATTCATAAGAGATTAACACGCGGGCGAAGTTACAGCATCCGAATCATATAAACGAAGTGGAAATAAATCAAGGATAGGCATGTATAGAACATTTAGACATATATGTAAGTGAGCTCAATAAACCGCGTCATGACAATTAATGCAGTGAACGCAACCACTATGTTCCTGAATTTCAAATTTGTAATATTTTGGAAAATATTCATTTAAATTACATGCTGTATAGGGGCATATTGATCTATATTTAACGCACAATGTATTTGAGGTACTTAATTGGATAAGGATTATTGTTGTATTGTTTAAAATCGCTTCGTAAAAAAGCCATTATCTCTCGAGGATAAAAAGTGGTTATTGTTGGTTATATCTAAGAGATAGACATATGCCATCCTGGACTTTTTGTTGAACTTTTTAAGGTCTCTCTGTGTTTCAATATGCAAATGGTATCTCTTTTTCACATTGTTCACCATCGCTATTGGAATCACTATACTGGAAAATGTCTACGTTGTTATCATACTCGTTATTACTATTAGTACTTGCCCAAGGAAGCCAACAAACATTTTAAGTAATTTTAACTGCACCAGTATCGAATTTCAACACTCAAATCGCAATCAACTCCTGAATTGAACATTGATGGCATGACGGCAATAACCATCCCCGCATTCCCGACCGAAGTCGGTGTGCTGATGTGCTAAAGGTAGCTAAAATACAGGGTGACAATTACGTATTCATACGAATGTGCCCCCAACTATTTGGTACATCTACATATTCACCTGTGGTCTACTCTCAACGACTCATAAGGTTGAAATGGTTTTATTCAACCTTTTTGTGTTTTGTGTACTCAGGCATTTGTTTTCAGACCTGAGGTCTTATTCAACTTCCTTGCATTACCTCTCTCTCTTACATTTCCTTAGGGCAATGTTGTATCTCTGCTTGACTAGGATGAAGTTAATTGTACGAAGAGATTATTGCGCTTCCTGTAATCGATTTGCTGACAACTGAAAGGCTAAAGAATATCTTATTTCAAAACCCTTCCGGTCTGTGCAAATTTCTAAGTCGGCGTTGAACACATACTTGTATGTGTGTGTAAAATTGTAGATACTACCTAATGTAACAATGTAATCTCTTTTCTTTCCTCTTCTCTCTTTCTGTTTGAATTTTATTTCGTCTCATTCTGATGGGTCTAGTAATGAAAAAAGGTAAATGCAAATCGGTAACACAAATTCAGTGAGATTTTTCAGGATTCATTTTCGATAACTTTTCACCTGACTGTGTGATCTCCACAAACTTTATTTGAAAAATATATCACAACATGTTTTGCTAAAGTTTGTGGAGATCAAATCGTCAGGTGTAGTTTTTGAAAAAATAAACTACTCAAGGTTGTGGAACAGAGTTTCAAAGTTTTCACAAGGATTAATCACTATTTGGGTTGCTTTTTTAATAACTTAAGTATGGCCAAAATACTTCTGTGAATGCCATATTTTTATAAAAAATTGGAAGGGATATAATTTGAAGAGATCAGTTTTTGAGAAAAAGCCGAGTTTAACTTTTTAATTTCTTTAAGAATTTTTCTAATTTCCATAACATCTGTAGGCATGAAAAAAAAACGTTTCTGAAACTGATTTGTCTTTAAGAAAAGTCAATGGATTTATATTGGATTTTATATCTTTGGATAAATTATGTGCCACAGTGCAGTAATATTTGTTAATACAATCAGATTTTAGGTCAGTTTTCGTAGGAGCAATATTATTTTTCCCCTGAGGTCATTGATGATTGCCCAGCTTTCTTTTTGTTTGTTTGCAGACCTTTCCATTTTTTTCATATAATAAAGTTGTTTTGCAGTCCTTACAGTTCTTCTATAAATGTTTTTGTACCTATTATATAGGGAGTTGAAGCCTTCATTGTTACCTAAATATTTCCGAATTAAATATAGTGATCGTAGATTTTCTGCTGAGACCTTAATGCCGTTTGTGATCCATGGCTTTTTAATTTTAGTTTTAATTTTGCTAATAGGGAACGCAGTATTAAAATTATTAGAGATAGTTTCATGAAACCTACTCACTGGGTCATCATTGGGATGATGTAAATCATTCCACCTTGCATCATTGCAAAGATCTACATAAGTATAAAAAAATTTTTGCTGTAGATTCTTCCAAAGCGCTTCTTTGGCCTCGATAATTTTTGACCTCCTTGGAAATTGAACAAAACAGACTCATGGTCAGATAGTCCAGCAATGACAACTTTACAGCTGATTTTTCGGGTATTTGAACATACATAGTCAAGAATAGTACTTGAGTATTTAGAAATACGTGTAGGAGAATCAACATGCATTGTGAGATCGAATGAAGAGAATATCGAAGTCAGATTTGACTAGGCAAAATAAGACTTTTTTTAAGTATACTTCACAAAAACACCTCATTTTCATAAGAAGTCTGTATTTAATAATTTCTTCCCGAAATAAACATACTTTTGTTGAAATGTTAATCAATTTCATTACGAAGTCCTCAGTTATTATCTAATTCCTACTGAGTAAGATAAAAAGGATCAGATTAGAAAACTATTCGATTGATGATTAACTCTTGTAAGACTTTAACTAAATAATTTACAAAACTGTGACACATGTTTCACTACACAATAGTTTCTTCAGACATATTCAATTCTAACTGCTATCAAGTATTGGTAAAAAGAGCTATTAGTTACAGATTTCATAAAATATTGTAAATTCATTTGCAGTTCACATAAACTCCGATATTACTTGTTGAGCATTTATTAAAAAACTTATTTTCATTTTCGATATGTTCAGGTAACAAAACATGCAGAAGTGAAAAATATTTCTCAATGAAATATAAACTGTCATAATGTAAGAGAACCTATTTTTACAAATGTGACTAGAAGACTTATGTAAAGACTCAATTATTTTTATTTCAACCTGATTGATTTTGGTTGAGTATTTGGTTCAGTACCAATGGGAATAGTGGTATTAATGAGATCATGAACTGTGGTTTACCACTACGAATTGATGAAATTGTTTGAAGCAGAAGGTTTTCAATTATAGGTTTAAATTTTACAAATATGTTGTGATTGTGAACAGAAACCCAAATTTATATTTTTTCGGTCATATATTTGTACACAAACACTAACAAACATTTTCTAAGCATAAATACGAATATATAATAAATATATAGAAATCAACAACGAAGAGACTAAGGCTATGGCTACATTTGCGTTTTGTTGTTTAGACAAGATCGCAGATATGGGCAGAGCCGAAGTGTATTGATAACCTATGTGTACTGTAAAATATTGTAAATATACCCCCCTTGAAGTGCTGAAAAACTGTAATGAATGAAAGAACAAGAAATGAGCTTAAGGAACAGTTAACAAGACAATGCATCAAAATCAGAATGAAAAAATATAGAGAAACCAAATAACAGTGATCAGATAGAGTAGGTGTAGGAACTGAATTTGAATAATAATATTCATTGTTTCTATTTCAATTCAAAGTGTGATCAAATGCAACAATATTTACATCCATATTTATAGCAAACATATATTGATGAGAGAGTATAAACTTTCACGACCGGAGACAATTTTGTCAACGCTATTTTTTCTGTTTGCTGACCGTGGTCTGCACATTTTATGCCTAATGTTTTGCCTACGACTGCGGTGCTTTGATGACAACCAGAACACTTTGTCCGTTGTCTCATCGCCTTTGATAACATCTACCGCAGTCGTAGACGAAACGGCATGCTTACAAACCTTGATACTACAGCCATCAAGTCCACAAAATACTTTGACCCATATACATTCACTTCAAATAAAGTAGCCCATCACCATTAATAACTCCGATAGTGATTTTTGTGTGTTGGCAATATGGTTTTGAGATAATAGGTTAATGTTGGTCCCAAGCAGAATGAAAATAATGAAACTACTTTTTGAAGCTCTTCAAAAATCATAGATTTTACAGTATATTTTTCCAGAACAACCATGCAAAAGCCTGAAATAGGCAACTAGATGATTGAAGAAAACCAGTAGTACAAGTTTCAATAGGTTGGAAAGAGATGAATCTGTGATAAGATATATTTGTATCACTATTGGATGATTAGTTTTTTCACCAGTACAGTCTTTAGATATTTTCAATAAGTAGATCAGTTTATGTTCAAGTATAAGGCACATTTAAGATTTCACTCATTTACCTGCATTTAATTGAAAGTTTCAGCACTTTGAAAATGGAACAAAGATGATATAGTGTGTGTGTGTGTGTGTTAATAAATTGTTTTAAATATTTTGATGTTCAATAACAGTATTTTATTCATCACTTTTTCTTTTCACTATTAGCTGAGACAGACAGAGTCAAATTATAATATGCAATAAATTAATTCACTTTGAAAAACACTCTATTTTCTCTTCCGAGATCTATAAGTGTTGCAATATGTGTTTTGAAAAACATTTTTTATCAATGTTTTCGCCACTAAGTAGAAATGAACTTCATGTTGCCTAATAGTACATATTTTAAAAACTATAAATTGTTTCAACAATATGATCTGCTATGGGATTTATTATCAAATTTTTATTTCTGTGTGTTGAAACTGAATAAAACGCAATAAATATTTAATGCGTTTTATTTCTCAAATATTATAATGTCTGAGAAAAAGGTGAAGAACATGAAACTGCTTTCTGAGTCAGAGGAGGAGGTGGAAGATATTAACAAAATATTTGCCTCACTGTATGAGTTGTAGTTTCATAAAAAAATTAGTGCTTTACCTGTCATTGCGTTTAAAGTAATACTTTATCTACCTCTGCAAATAAAGTGCAACTGTATCTACTCTTTAGAATTAATAAAAACTCACTTCAACATATGCCATAGAAAAAATGTATACATGTTATGTTGTTTATTGACTTTCTCCATTCATTACTAAGGTGACATGGAGTAAACAAAATCAAATGTCAAGGCTGACGCTTCAGAATCAATACCTGCTAATACGCAGTTCTTCAAAGACAACAGACACAAAGACTCTTCATTCTCTTTGTTTCAATTTCAGCTTATGTAAACAATTATTCTCCTATAAATACCGAAATAAGTTAGTTATTAGAACACGTTAGTTACTTTTATAATTTAGTATTCTGTAACTCAAAATAAATATTTTTTAAAAACTTATATTTCCAAAAGGAAATAGAACATATATTTTTATTATCGCCTATGGTAAATGAGGTAAGTCAAATTATTGGTGCATGTGATGGTATAGAACATAAATTACTGTACCTCTGAGATTCAAAAGTCGCATATGTAATTCAAATACAAGAAATCCAGGAACGATTTGAATAAAAACATCACATGGACCAAAATAATGTTTCAATTTGCAGAACACTTCATTAAAACACACCAGGAACTAGTGACTGAATGAATCCTTACAGTGGTACAGTTTCATATATCCCCATTAAAGTTCACTGTACATTCGTGTACCTGTTTCAAGCCCGTTTGTAATCACAACTGAGGGTTGCCCATTGTTGTACTTAGCTAGCTAGCCGTACTGACAACCAACGAGACAGAAACACGTGTCTGCATTTGAGTGTTGTACCCCTTAATTTTCTTCGTTTTCTAATGTAATTACGAAAGGGGATTTTATTGAAAAGGCCAGTGAAACTCGAGTGAGGAAGTAGCTTTTCTGAATTACAGTAAAGGAAAGATACAACACGTACAAATCAAATTTTTGGTTGCTGTGTGGGATTGACAGAAAAATCAAACCAATAATATCAAAAATGAACGAGTGAAAAAGTTTTCCTTGTACTAATGCTTATACTTTATATTATCATACTGTAACATGGTAACATGGCTCTCATCCGCTTTACAGAACTCCATTCTATACATTTTCCCTTGTTGATAATTTGTCATCATACCAACCCATTTTCAAAAGACATTCTTCTAATGATAAGAAAATATAATAAGCACATCATGACTAGAATATGGAATCACTTCTGTAAATGCCATTATACAATATAAATATCTCACTTATGTAACAGTTTTACTACATAACATCCTTAGAATAGCATTAACACCTAGGACATTTTTAGTTTTTCAAGTTTTTTTCAATATTAAAATATGTGATTGAACATGTAACGATATCAAGAAAATAAATAATCTGTTTGAATATTTTTTCCGAATATCTACCAGACAAGGTTACCTAAATTTCTTTATAATTTCTTAAAGTCACTCACTCAGCGCCAACTGTATCTCTGAAAAACTTTTTCCTTTGGTTTCCGGCACGAAAATGTACACGAAGAATACTCCAATCAAAGAAGCGAAACTGAAGATGTAAAAACTGCCGTCCTGTCCTATCAAATCAGAAATTTGTAGGAAAAATGTAGTGAGTATGAACGCCAAAAACCAGTTGATGGTACCGGCAGACGAACTGGTGATGCTTTTTATCTCCGTAGGAAAGAGTTCAGAGGAAATTACCCACGGAATAGGACCCAAACCGAGAGAGAAAGCTACCATAAAAATACACAGCGCTCCTACTGGCAAGAACCAGACTTTGCCTAAAATGGTTTCATCTACATCTACTCGGTATTTGAGAGTGAAATAGACGGCTAATAAGAATGTAGTGATTGTGACAAATAGTGTGGAAACGAAAAGTAGAATCCGCCGACCAAGTCTATCAACTACTAGGGATGCAGCGAAAGTTGCCACCGCTTGAAAAGCTCCTACAATAATAGAGGCAGTTTTCGGATCTACATTAACGCCTGAAGACTTAAAAATCTCGCTAGTATACAAAATGACGGCATTCACACCACTAAACTGCTGGAAAAACATCAGAGATGAAGTTACAACTAAAGCCTTTACAACGGACTTTTGAGTGAAGGTTTCATATAGGGAAACAGCTGTTTGGGTGCTCTCTTTCAAAAAACCTTCAATCTCGTTGATTTCTGTGTCTATTTTGTAGGTTGGGCCACGAAGTTTCGATAAAGCCGACCTTGCCTCGTTGTAGCGTCCTATCTTTAACAAAAATATCGGTGATTCTGGTTGAAATACAAACAGAATGACGAAGATGAAAGGTATGCAGGCGCACCAGATTGTGAAATGTATTGGGTTCAAAAATTTTCCGAAAATGTAAGCTAGGAGTATACCTATTGTTACCATCAGCTGAAAAAAACTTCCCAAAGTCCCTCTCAGACTCTTGTGAGCGATCTCGCTAGTGTATAATGGGGCTGCAATGCAGCATGCCCCTGCTGCTAAACCAGTTATTAAACGTCCAAAATATAACATCAACACGTTATCCGCAAATATCAGTAGTAACCATCCAACGCTGAAGGGGATAAATAATGACAAAAGGGTTTTTTTACGTCCAATGATGTCACAGATGAATCCAGTAGGAATGCACATGGCCATTCCACCAAGAGTGGCAAATGAACCTGTCCATCCTATTTGGTTGCGGTCCAGTGAAATATTGTGATATTTACCAGCTTGAAGGTCGTCCAGAATCGGTGAAGTCCATCCAAGTACGGTACCAGCTGCTAAAGCTGAGAATGTGGCTGAAACAAAGGAATATTATTTTGGGGTTATGTAACTAAGCTGTTGAAGTCATATCTCCTATAAGCTGTAAGTAAAGGTGATGACATTGCCTGTTAAAAACGCTCGATCCAGAACATCAAAGATGAACGAGATTGTCCAAAGCCAAACTTCGATATTGACCGTCAAACAAGATTCATCCTTGTCTTCAAGTGCAAGGCAACTACATAAAACTAGATCCGAAAAACAAAGAATTCGTGATTCAACACTAGACAGCGCTGTTTTGACCCCTCTTGGTCCCATCAGTGGTGCTAGGATGAATCCTAAATAAAGGCGATGATATCTCCCCTTCTTAGAAGACCACAATATATAGGAAGAACAGAAAAATTATTTCATTATAGAGGATCCTCAAAAAGCGGAACATTGCAAAGCCAAGTTTCGACATCGGCCTCCCAACGAGAATCGTCCTCTGTCTTTCACTGCAAGGCAACTAGATAAAACGAGAGCCGAAAACTAAGAATTTCGTGTTTTAACACCAGACAGCATTATTTCAACTCGCCAAGGTCTTATTAGTCGTGCTACGATTGTTTTTGAGAACAAAACACAAGCACTACAGGAAAATCCTTATGTCGCTCTGAGGTCGGTGCCTGTGCGAAAGTAGCGATTCACAATGGATTTGAATCGCTGGAGATTAAATACATTTTGAAAAACGTTCTTAGTAAAATTATTCCACATAAACGGAGTTCTCCAAATGAAAGAGTTCTCAAATAGTGAAGATCGAGGTGTACTGAGGTGAACCTCGTAGAGGACAAGCCTGAATTAGTATAGGCGATGACATCACCCCTTAGAAGACGCCATTCGCGGTCTGCTGCATTTGTTTATTGCAATTTACTTTTAAACTCCATCACTAACAGAATACAGTACCGAATTTAGATGTTTATGGTTCGAATAGCGGTGTCGCTGTATTATGCTCTATACTCTGCCCAACCAAGCAACTGAGTGCTCCAAAACATCGTGTATAGTGCACGTGATATCCCAAACAAGGCTGCTTGTACGTCGCACTTGAAATGAGAGAAATTTTAAAACCCAGCATTATCAAAGATCGAAATATAATGTTATTTATATAGGGGTAAAATGATGATTTCATATTGAATATAAAGCTACATCACATATTTATTCTAATTTTTGGAATAGGATATCATTAAAATGATATGTAAAACCTACTGTTGATTTGTCCTGAGAAACAGTAATCTGACATTATTCTTATACATTTTACAAAGTTCGTTTTCAATACACCAACGATTCAAGATCAGAAACTGTTTTAAAAACCTTCAGGATGCCTGCAGATAATAATAAAAAAGTACTGTTAAAGATGTCAATGCCGTCGATAAATAAATTGAAAAAAAAGGGTCCAGAATGGGGTCCTTGAGGAATTAGGACAATAAGAAATTGAACTACCGATTTTGACACTGTAGGTATGGTTTGATAAATAGCTCTGAAACTAATTTAAAACATTTTCAGTGATTCCATAAGCTCAGAGTTTAGCAATTAATTTTTTCAAGTAGAATCAAGTTGCAATTTGTCGACTAAAGCTTAAGTGATGTAAATCTGAAAAATTAAAAGCGCTTTAATGTTGATATTTTTCTGGATAAATCCTTGCTGTTCACTAATAAATATGTTTCTAAACTTCGATTTACTAATGGAATTATAAGAGTAATTGTTTAATGTGGATGTGGGCTAATTTGATATGAAAATGAAGCTATATTTGGAAATGTGGTGTATTAGATGAAATGTAAATATAGCTGTTCATGAGTTGGGTTGGAAAGAAGTAAAAAAAAAAGTTTGAATAGTTCAACGTACCTCTTCATTTTGTACATCAGTTGTTTCATTTAACAACTTTTATTATTTCTGATTTGTGTATATTGAGACATAATCTATGCAGTGTATGGTAAGTACCAAATGATAATAAATTCATAACAGCACTGCTCCCAAATACCAGAACTAAAACACTCTTCTCGACGCGCGTTTCACCAACCAAGTTGGCATATTTAGGAGATGAAGTGGTCTAATTATATAAGCAACTCGAAATCAAATTATTCTTATCATCCTAGAATTGAATTCCGTAGTAAAAAGGGAAATTTTTGTTACCCACTTTGCCTGAAACTCAATATGTATGAGATGAAGAAATCAGCGAGATATATAAAAAATATTTTAATTACATTCTTAGATCGTAGCAGGCCTTATAATCTAACGACAGTATAAATAAAATGTTTCACATTCATTTATCTGTTTGGCAATATATCAAATTTCAATTCATAGGCCAATAAATTGAATAATATTCCATTGTGATAATCTGCTGTTGAGTAAACAACCTTCAGTTACAAAAACACAAAGACCTTGACTAAAACATTGTATCAACATTTCACTTTTAACTCATATTTAGGCTAGATAACAGCATATAAAGACTTTACCAGAAACAAAGAATATGCAGAGTATATTACTGTACACCAATTTAGAGATTGAAAATGAATGTATAGAGCAGCGGTTAAAATTTGCTGACTCAAAACTCAAAAGTGAAATTCAAGGATCCAAGTTTTTACTTGGGACTTAAAAGTGGATTCATGCACCCGTTTTGTCATAAGTTTTAAAATTTAAGAATTCATGTTTTTCATTTGCTTCTACTGAACACCTACAACTCGTGCACATGAATATTATAAATACAGGTATATATGACAATATCTGTGCTCGTGGATGAACGGTTCCATTGAAAAGTAATGATTGACTGTTTATGATTTCTTATGACTAGGTATATGAATGTACCCTAAGACTAGGAGTGTTCATTTAATATATTTCTGAGTTTTTAGTTTCCATATTTAAATAAAAAATATTGGGTTGAGCTTTAGAGTTTTTTTTGTAAGATTATCAACATTTGGTTAAATTTTTGACTCTTATTTGTCATCACAAAGAAAAGTTGACGTTACATTCAAATTTACATTATAATGTCATCTTAAACGCAAGTCACGTTTGAATAGTAGTCCTGTTGTAGGAAAAAACTTCATCGATCATATGATTGCGGTTTTATAGTGATGATGATAATACCACCTATGAAATTTTGGCATTCCAGATAAAATAGAACTCCATGGACTCTGTGATCACGTTATTTCAAACTTGCATCAGCTCACTCGACTCCAGATTTTTGAAACCGAACACATCAGCTGGTGCTTGAGTTCATCTTGAATTTCTTCTGAGAGAAAGGGAAATGATACAGAGATATTCATTCCACTTATACTTATGTGAATTGACTATCTGATAAAAAAATTACTCTTGCATTTGGATAACATGCTATCCATTCTGTGATAAGAGAAATGACTATTAAAATATTCAGGGATAGAAATAAACGCCAGAAAATACCTGCTAGTGCTGCAAAGTACTGTCGAAATCGATTTGGAGTTCCTTCGTGAAGTAAACTACTAGCGTTCTGGAATACACAAGAAAATACATATAACATTATGTTTGGCCTTCTGGTACTTACTACGGATTCATAACCTGATTCCTGATTTGAATTAACTTGGTTTATTAAAGAATATCTGTCTTGTTCCATGATGGTTGATTATTTATTAACACCTTTTTTATGTGGATGATTTTTGTTTTTCAATTTTTGAATTTGAAACTCTTTGTTGACAAAATTTAATAATCAAACAAGTACGAGATCATTGTTGCCAAACCACGATAGAGATATCCAATATCCAATGTCTCACGACCTTGAAGTTCTTTATTATTTCATCATTGTTAGCAAATGAACCAACATATCCAGTGCTGTAAGAATAACCGAAGGACTTTTATGACTCATGATGCACTGTTTGGAACCTTTGTTGTAGTAGTGAATATTACTGGAGTTTTTTTTCCCAACACCAAATCGGTATTTTTAACACCTCGACACGTGTTTCGATCACCAAGTGATTAAAAGATTAAAAGAAAAAAACTCCTGTAATATTCATTGACTTTCATGACATTGAATGAAGTATTTGTACGGGTCATTATTTTAAATTGTGTGTAGTGATATTTTAAATGTTTTCCATTCCAAACTGACTCAATATATTCTTCTTTTTATAAGACATAACTGGATTAACGAAGACTCCCTTGTCAAGTTGGAGTTTGAGTTCATTTCCAGTTTTTCTGCAACTGAAAAGCATGTGCGTCATCTGAAAAATAACGCCATGGATTTGATTTTTGTTCTTTTCTATTTCAATATTATTTTTGTGATTCTTATGTTCTGTTGATGATTATAACATTTTTTCATGAACTCTGTTATAAATTTGTATTTTGTCGGTATTCATATAAGGATTTCAAGATTTATACCTGGAAAAGTAAAAATTTTATATTGGCTACCCTGGAAACTAGGATGGAGAATATTCCTATCTTTTATTCAAGGTCATAGTGAAGTCAGTTGTCTCCATTAATATAAACTTCAATAGAATTTCGGAATATTAGTTTTCTTCCTCGTAACAAGGTTAATAAACATGAGTAATGATTAGTACCAAGAAAATAAAGAACATTCCAAATTTCCTTGAATAAAGACTTTCGAAGAATGAAAAAATTCATTCAAACTCTCTTTTATTAAAATTTAAATAACGTCTCCGGAAATTCAGCGACACCTAATAGTGGATTCATGAACACCTGACTATATTTATAATCATTTATCAATAATGATATAATCGACTTCACTCATGAAAAATCAATAATAAAATAAAAAAAATGACTTCAAACCTCCATCCCCTGATCTAAAAGAACAATAAAAACAATATCTGGAAAGAACCAAATACCATCAAATACTTTGCTTTCATATAGACAGCTGACAGGAAAGCCCTCTCTGAGAAAAATTGAAACTAAGGAAAGTAACTATCTACTTATATACCAGATGCCGCCAGAGGTAGGTTTTTCAGCGGGTGTGGAAGTGAAATTCAACATTTCAAGCTTATTGTTGCTTATTATGAAGATGATGAAGTATTATTTGTAATTCCAAATGCCAAGCAATATTTGTACAGAAATCTTTTCAAAAGATAAATATAAATATATTACCAATTGAAATATATGCATTTAAAATAATAAAAAGCACGACTACTCATTTATTTTCAAATACAGTGGCGAAACAAATATTATAAGTAACTTGTAAATGAAAAATGAATAAATGTCCTCTGGATTTCATAAGTGCCTTTTCTTTAGGGGTTGATTATATTCTGCTGCTATTCAGGGACTTTAAGATTAGGTATATACAATCAGGATATGCTTGAGGAATATATATAACACGTTTTGCGGTTTTTCAAACTGTCTACGGGAAATCTCACAATACAGTGTTACTTCGTTACTTGAATAAGTTATGGAATTTCATCAATTATCGGCTAATTCCATCACATATTGAAATTGATAGTTTTGACCACACTTTTGTTTCAATGAGATCATTATTATTAGTTACAAGCTGATGCTACCCTCGTTAATCTTTGATATTCGAGAATTCAGTTCTCTGTCGATCCCGTGATATCTTCGCCCTCATTTATTCAGGCTTGACCTTTAAGTACAATTGAGTTCAGCAATGCATTTGTGGTTCAGCCTAGCACCACTGATGAGACCTATGACATCTCTATCTGGTGTTGGAAAGAGAAGTTTTTATAAAGAAAACATACCGACTGTTTTATTATTATTTTCAATTTAGAGCCCAAATTTTCTGATAATTTTCAATATAATTCTTCTCACTTTTTTGTAAATCATGTTGAGAAATGAGTGAAACTTATTCTGTTTCATAAGGTTCGAAAATATGGTTTAGACTTTCGCGGCTAAGGTTTTCAGTGTCACTGTTTTTCGAGTTTGAAAGCCGTGGATTATTAGAATTTCTTCCTGACGTTTCGCTGGCGCGAGTGGCTAGCTTCTTCAGAGGTTTAACCATCATGGCTTGCTGTCCGATGACTAACTTTTAGACATCGTAAAGCGTATTTATGCCTTGTCAGGTATTGTTACCTGTATTGTTACCTGTATTTGTACCTGTACTTGTACCTGTACTTGAACCTGGAACATTAACAATCTTGCTGCCTGTTGTCGTACTGTTCGTTATTCTCGAATTCCTTAAAATGGGATTCCATATTCGATTGAGGTTCAGGTCAGGAAGAAATTCCAAAAATTCAGTGACACTGAAGGTTCGAAAAGTTTGTAAATGAAATCAATGTTTCCGATTGTCAAATCCTTTGGGGCCAATGACGTGAGCAAAAACGTTGATATCATCTGGGATATGATTCCAGATAGCGAACACATCATCAATATATCTCCACCATATCTTTGGACCATTCTGGTAAGTTTCGATATATGTTTCCTCAAAATGCTCCATGAAAATGTTACTCAGAATCGGTGACAAGAGTTAGCCCATTCCAAATTCTTGTTGATAAAAATCCCTTTTGAACTGAAAAAAAGTTTTATCGGTACATACTTTCAGAAGCTCCAAAATAGCTTCTACATTGGACTTTTATACAGGGTGTCCCATATAAAACACCGCGGGCAAATATCTGAAAAATGAGAAAGAATATCCATAATTCGTGAAAGCAGATGATTTTGATGTCAAAGGGTCCTCTTATTTGCGAAGAGATCCAGCAATAGGCGTCATCCATTAGGGCGTCGTGACACCGACGCCAATTTTGTTTAATGGTAATCTAGATTTTCCGATTCGTTTTTGGATTCTGCATTAAATTCCGAATTCAGCCATATAACACACTTGTAGTTTTCCTTGAATACTGATGAAAAAAGGCAATTTTATTGCATATTATAAAGAGGGCCACGAATAAGTCAAAATGAATATACCAGTTATGATTTTATTGTCTGTTCAATTTTATCTAGTTGCGTATTTCTGTACAAATTTAAAATAAATGTTTCAAATTACCAAAAAATATGTTACTTTGACCAAAACTCGACAAGAATCATTTTAGTGAGTGTTCGGACTGTCTCCCTTCACGTAGAATACACATATTGCATCTTTTTAGTGCTTCCCGATTCGTGACAGTTAAAGGCGTCTCTCGCGTTATGGAAGCACAAACATTTGTGATATTATTTTTCAAATCCTCTACATTTTGTGGACGTCGCCTATAAACTAAGTATTTGATATATCTTCACAAGAAGAAATCTAGTGGAGTAATATCAGGACTTCCAACTGGCCATGGTATTGGACCCTTATTTCCAATCTATTTGTCATTAAAAGTATCATCCAAATATTGGGAATAGAAAATTTCAATTTTCTTTTCTTCATTATGATTTCCTACCACGTTGTAAAGACTACATCCATCAAATACCTGTTTTTTACACCACACAATTCAAATCAATAGGTGTCTCAGGAGTTATCGCAAAATAAAAATCACTGCGCTAGAAAAAAAATTCAATCGGTCTGACAAATCGATGCGTCACGGTTGCATTTTGTTTTTTTTTTTGTATATACTCGTGAGTTGTACCCGTTTACCTTTTTCAAATTCAAATCGATAGTTTTTGTTTGACTCACGATTAGTTTACCGTGAGTTGTGAACAATTGTGCATAAGAATTGTGAAGTTACTTCATAGGACAGTTACGTACACGTCTAGTAATTTATACCAAATGGAAAATGCTAGCAAATATTTTTAAGCTTTTACAAAAAAAGGCTGAGCCTTAGGTATGATAAGTGAGAAAATTAAAAAATTTGGAGTGAGGCGATTTTGGCAAAGAAAATCAATCATTTCGGAAAGTAGGCCTGCACCTTTCATAGACTAAAAAAATGCATTATCAGGGTTTCATAACATACGGGTAAAAGGCCCAGACTGTGTACATTCAAGAAAAAAATCTCACAATTTTAGGATTATGTGAGCCTGTAGCTGTCGCCTTTTTCAATATNACTAGATCTGCTATAAAAACAAAATGAAATACAACTCTGAGAAACTATTGAGAGACCCACTTAATCACTCCTCCCTGTGTAACAGAGGAAAATGCTATAACCTAATAATGAAAAAGAGAACCCGATTCGTAGCTATATGGTAAATTGTCACCAATACCGACCTACTTCTGAGTTCGTACGCTCCTGATTTTTACCTCAAGTCAGCTAGCCAAATGAAACGCGGCAAATTCCCATATAACAATATCACTTCTCGACACAGTGACGTGAAATATATCAATATTTCAACTCACTCAAAGCTTCCTCAAGAATTTCCAAACTTTGTAGGAAATTCAACTGAACTAGACAATTCTCCGCGCACGACTCTCTTTACCTCAGTTCAACTAAACTGCGAATATTTATCAATTCCGAAACACCTCGCAAAACGGTGCCTTGAACTACCTCGTATTTCAGTACCTTCGTACGCTCCTGACTTTTTACCTCAAGTCTGCTAGCCAAATAAACTGCGAATATTTCTCACTACTGGAACCCATCGCGACTCTGTGTCTTAAACGTAACACCCCAGGAAGTTCAATAGCTCTTCCAGCAACCTCCCCAAAGAGGCCAACCGCCCCGGTTAAGTGCCCTCAAACGACCCTGGGGTCCGCGCACGACTCAATTCTTTCTCAAAAATTTCCAAACTCTGTTAGGGGATGTAATTCAAATAATCTCATGAAAAATATCACCAATCAGAAAGTCTGAAATTATTTCCAAACCCGGTACTCTTAACGTCCTCTACATGTCCAGCGAATAAGTTCGCAAGAATTACTGACTGGTACCCGATATTTCTGATGTCGTGAGCCTGCTACTGATATATAGATGTCACTGTAGGGGTTATTTTGAAATTTTTCTCTGTCTAGAATAAGAGGTGCTTTGTATGTACCATCCCAAAGGGTTTCATTAATTTTATCAGGTCGTTAAAATTGAAGTTAATACTCTATAGACACTCATAAAATAAATTTCGATATTCATTATACTTTTAAGTACTTATTGACAGTTATTCTAAATGGGGTACACAGACTGAATAATATATTTTCGACCCTCAACGTTATGATAATGAAATGAATGATGAGGTTGAATGTTCTAAAATATCAGATTTCTTAAACATCGAGCAGTTAATTTTAACGACTTTTCCTTTGTTTGGCTTGGCCCTGGTTGACCTAAAATTATAAAAGGTTCCCTTTTTCTACGAAAACCCATCTGTTTTGGTAGTCAATATTTAACGAAAAATAATATATCCAACTTATTACAAGGATATGTTTAGGGGCGGAGCTCCATCCGAGGAAGGTCTGGTTTGAGCTTTATGAAGAATCAAGAGTTGCAGAGGTGTGTACACTTTTCTGGTGCGGAACAGTGTTTCAAGCTTTTGAGAAACAGATTAATTCCAGCGACATGATTGTACAAAGACATATCGCTGTCCATTTTAACCCCCAACAAACTTATCGAAGCAGATAGTGGAATTGTTTGACCTGACATTATTATATTCGGTTCGGAGACAGTTATCTTTTTGGAGAAAATCGATGCCTGGATGTTTGTGGCATTGAAATGAACTTGGTTACTTTCACCGCAATTCAAAATTACTTCTAGATCCTCATTGAGACATGCAACCTCCTGCTGCCGGTGAAGATGTGCATCCGCAGCCAATGTCCTGGAATCCAAATGGAATGACGAGACAAGTGTTTTGTCATCAGCAAAGCAATATATTTTTTTCCAATAAGTCGTTGATATGCAATAAAAAGAGGGTTGGAACGAAATAGATCTCTGGGGAACACCAGATTTGATGGTGTCCGAGAATTATGCACTTTTGAAGAGTGCGATGCACGAATAATTTTTGGCTTTTTACATTTTTTCTATGAAGATGGAGAGGTAGAAAGTCGAAAACCTTTCTTCACCAAAAATTGTTACCAATTTTGAAACTTACTATCACTTATTCTCTCGACTCTCTTCGTGAGTTGTATCTTTCCAGTTTTCGTCAGTTGACGACATTTTATCTACATTGCCATTACATAATTNAATTGTTACCAATTTTGAAACTTACTATCACTTATTCTCTCGACTCTCTTCGTGAGTTGTATCTTTCCAGTTTTCGTCAGTTGACGACATTTTATCTACATTGCCATTACATAATTGAGAACCCGGTACCACACTTTAAGAATTGCAAATCCATTTTCTTGGACTGATTTGAAACAGAACATGAAAACACAAGTGCATTGTATATGAAAAATTATTGTCTTATCTGACTATAACGAATGCATTACAAAAATTGTTTTGAGGGAAATTATTATTTAAGTAGAAACATTTTCTAAATTCTCACTGTAGATTAAATCTAATGCGAATCAAATTTATTCAGAAATGCCAGCTACCGAGGAATTTTCACGAATAAGTGAAATGCTATAGATTTTCGAATCGGCGTATAAAAGCGAAAAAATGATTGGAAAAATTAGTTCAAAATCGAAAATGAAGACTCAGCAAGTCACAGCGATTTTGCTGTGTGCCTTACTCGGCAGTACTTTGGGTCATGGTAAGTTTTTACTATAATTAACTTGACTTAAAATTATAAATTCAAAAAAAAGAAGCAATCTTCTAGTAGAAAAATATTCATGAAGAAACATATTTTGAAATAAATTGTTTTTAACTCACTTCATAAATGTCTCTTTCTGAAAAGAAAATACAAAGGATTTGATTGCATCCAGAAAATATTCTCAGTGTGGAACAGAAGGAATTATCATTTCAACAAGTTACAGAAAAGGCTTTTTTTTGAAAATTTGTCAAGCGAGTTTAAAAATCTGTTGAAAATGACATGAAACATGGCCATGAAAAAAAAATGGGACATTTATTGACCTAATGAAACTATACTACTTTTTTAATGGTGTTTTTGGAAGCAATTGAAAACCTAATGTGCATTTTCGAAATGATTACTACATGAACTGTATATAAGCCCTGTTACCATAAAAGGTTTTCGTTATGCTGCACTATATAAAAAAATGGCAAGCCACTCTATGGCTCGTCTAATGTTAATACTACAACTACTCTTTCAAGTTGAAAAATTATTCAACTCGGTCAACTGCTAGATTAACTGATACTTTTTCACAAAATTCTTGGTATGAACAAAAAGGGTCTCTTGAGATTTTTCGATATTCACACTTTCAGATTTTACTGAAATTTTCTGTATTTACAAATAATGTATAAACTCTTTCAATATCCTTGCAGACGGCAGACATATGTCATAATTTTAAAAAAATATAATTTTTCTATGCTGATTTTCTAAAAAGAACCAGGGTTTTACTCGTCAAAAAATTGCGATTATCTATGAAAATCGTAGTTTCCTACATCCCCCTATAGGTCGTAGTTTGAGAATAAGACAGTATGTGGAAGGGAATATATGTAAAAGTTGTAGAACTTGAAAAGTCTCAAAATGTAAGTCTCACATGTAAGTACTAAACCTAAACGTGAATCAATTGAGAATGATTTAAATTTATCATTTGAAATTTCCTTAGACCTGCCATTAGAAACGAGCTTATACCGAATAGTACTTTTAATGAACTCAATTTTATACGACTTTTCAAACTGTCACTGGTTCCACTTGTTGTGGAAATTGTGGTTATTCACAACCTTCATTTTCAATAAAAACTTCCTAAACTTTATGTAATTATGTTAAAATTGTAATGATTTTTGGTTAATCTTCTTGGAACCTACATGAATGGCCTATAAGTATTTTCAATATTTCCCGATTTCAGTTCAGTTTCTTTCACATTGACGAAATTATTTAGTAGTTTCTTAAACAGTTTCCTAACCATTTCCTGTACGAAAATGAAGAACTGATTCTACAGACATTTTAAATACTTTCAATATTTCGAAAAAAAAATTTCTTTTGATTTAGTACAACAAAAATATTCCTAATAATTTTTCAAACATTTCTACTAGCAACTAGTCTTCGCTGACGAAGAACCAGATTTCTCAAATTGTCTTGTATTATTGGTAAAATTTTTCAANAGATACTTCGACTATACTACTGATGAGGTTTATTGCAGGAACTGTCTGGTATTGGTGCATGGATACGATGGTTTCGCAATGAAATCATCCATAACTGAATTGCGATTAATGAAACTTTGACATTGATCACCAAGAACTGAATATTCATCTATAATCTTCGTTAGATAAATACTTGTTAGATTAATACAAGCCACGTCAATCCTTGAAATATTTTCTTTTTTTTTCAGAATTCTTAAGAGTCAAACGCTTTGCACCCGAACCTAGATCAGCAAAGTTAGCATCACCATTTGAAGACCGCGCTTTGGCAAATCAACCAGAAGAATGCACAATCACTTGCGATGTAGACGATGGCAAAGGACATCTTCAAATTATTTTCAACGAGACGACACAACTTCTTGGTGTAGTCAACGAAACAGCCAAAGTAGCGCTTGTCATCGACATAAATGCAAATTTGGTAGGAATTTTCGATGGATCGACTGGGGCTGTGTTTATATTGAATCTGAAAGCACAAACTGGTGTATACATAGCTGGAGGTCTGACAAAAATCAGCTGGATTAGCTCGCAGTCGACATTTGAGATCTTCTTCTCGAAATTGACGTCACTCCAAATATTCCTGGATCTGAAAATCGGAAAAACATTCACGTTTTCCGATATATCAAGCGATATCTCGAATATACTCATCAAGTTACTGATCAGTTTTTCGTTTGAGTTCGGACTTGAAATTCAAGGCAATATTAAGGCTTCATTGACTCTCCTCGTCAAAATAAGCCTTTCAATTTCCACGTTGATCAAAGGTTCTTTGAAAGGTTTCTTAGACGTCGGTGGAAAAGGCTTGATAAGGCTGCACGGAGACTTTGTTTGGTTAGGCGGAGTTCTCGAAGGACTCGGAGTCTTGTTCAGCAATATCAATGGTGGTTTAGCCACACTCATCGCAGCTAGAGTTAAATTCGATTTAGCTTTGATATTCGGGGCAACCAACGGGCTGGAACTCTTCATCAACATCCTTTTCGCTATTGCCGCGAGAGGCAGAATCACTCTTCTCGCTGGACTTCTCAACTCTACCGATAAACTTCTTGCTCTCATTGTCCAACTTGGAGGTAACGTTTCGACCGGAGTGACTGGAGTCTTCAAAATTATTTTATACATCAATGCTCTTATTCGTGGGGAAATCAAACTCGAAGTGCTCTTACAGACCCTCTTGGAATTTGCTGCCTCTAGATCTTCTCAGGAGAGCATAGATTTCCAGTTTTATATCGAAGCTCTAACGAAACTAGTAGAAATTTCGGGAGCATCCTCTTCGGGAGAATTGACAGTATTCGTTACTTGGGTAAGAAATTTGCAGGCGGGAAAATTCATCAACGGCAAGGTCAACATTTCAGAAATCATCGTAATCTTGGTGAGCGGATCAGTAACAAATGCCCTGGTACTGGTCATTTCGGTTCTTCTGAAGCTGACGGTGATCGTGGGATTCGGAATAGCAGTGACAATTCCCGCTCTGCTGTTCTACCTAGTTCTACAACTGAGAAGCGCTGTTGGTATATCTCTTCTGAGAAGTTTGGGTATTAAAATCGAAGTAACCATAACCTCCGGTGGCATTATTTCAGGAATAACGAATGGAATCAACATTCAATCCATTTTGAGCATCGTTGGAGGACGCCTCGACGTAGAAAAACTAGGAGGAGTATTCCCAGTTTTTGGAAAAATTTATCAGAGCTTGTCTGTAGCTCTTCGCACATCGAGTAACGGGTCTTATGATCTGTCAACTCTCGTCAAATCTTCCTCGGTGCAAAGTGACCTTCAGGTGTTCATCAAAGGAATAGTGGGTTTGGCTCCAACTCCTAAACCAGAAGTAACCACCAAATCTTCAGGCGGCTTTATCGGCGAAATTATTGGCGGAATATTTGGAGGCGGAGGTAAAGGTGGTGCAGGAGGTTCAGGAAATGCTGGTGGTTCAGGTAATGCTGGAGGTTCAGGAAATGTTGGAGGTTCAGGAAATGCTGGAGGTTCAGGTAGTGCCGGAGGTTCAGGAAATGCTGGAGGTTCAGGAAATGCTGGAGGTTCAGGAAATGCTGGAGGTTCAGGAAATGCTGGAGGTTCAGGAAATGCTGGAGGTTCAGGTAATGCTGGGGGTGCAGGAAATGCCGGAGGTTCAGGAACTGCTGGAGGTTCTGGACATGTTGGAGGTTCAGGTAATGCCGGAGGTTCAGGAGGCATTAGCGCTGGAGGTCAACATGGCGGCAGTGGTAGTATTGGATGGCACGGTGGCTGGGGATGGGGTCACTAATGTAAGTTTCAAGATTTTTTTTTGAGTTTAGAACAAGTTGTCGATGCAAATTCTATAATTTATCAACGCTGAATAAATTTCCACTCGAATGACTTTTTTGATGAAAATTGTTGAAAGTAAAACTCTTTTTTTTCTTTCCACTGTTTCGAATTGATTTCTTAACTTATTAAACTACCAATGAATATTTAGTCAATCAATAGAAATGTAGGTTTTTTTTGGTTGAACGTTATATTGAAACAATAGACCTAGTTGTTGTTCCAGAATACTTGGGTGCTGTTATTTTTCATTTCATCATTTCATCAATTTCATTGATCAATAAATAATTGAGGACATACTTCAAAACTTCTCCATATTTTATCCGTTCATCCATTTATAATCTTCACTAGAAGTTAACGTTTTTCCCAAATGCAATTCACTTCTCCAATAACAGAGTAAGATCTTGATGCGAAACAATCCACATTTTTTCAATAAAAATTCAACTCATTTATTTATTTTGGGCAGCAAAGGCAATCAACAGTATCATCGATTTGGGTCGCTCTATTATGTGGCCATCAGTTGGTGGTTTGAATTAACATCTGATCTTACTCAAAATGAGGTAACCACAGTTTATTGTGGGGCCTATTCAGTACACAGCAAACGTGAAAGGTGTCTTGGTCGCCCTGTACTCTCCCACACATTGGAATACCTCAGTGACTTGATCTCCCTTCCTTCTTATGTATATGTCATTCTAGTTTTCGAATCGCAGGGTCGGAGCTTTGTTACTCCTATTCGAGAAGCAAATGAACAGCTCCATACGTGGGGGTGTTTATTTAGCAGATCCCAAACCTGTTCTTCAAGATTATTATCTACTGCTATTTACAGTCAAGTGGGTAGTTTCGAGAATATTTTGAAGGGTTTTTGTTGCAGTTATAGCTACTGAAGTAAATCTATTTTAGACAAGAATCTTTTTATATAGGAATGGAGGCTTCCACGGCTGGCGTCAATTTTTTGGTTGGTTTCCGGGTTTTGCCGTGGTCTACTTTGGTACTGATCTCCAAACATTTGAACCGCAACTGCGGCAGTCATCTTCGGTGGCATGGTCGAAGTACTCTTCTTGACGTTTCAGTTGACACCAAGAGAGTACTTCAACCACGCGACTGAAGATGATTGCCGCAGTTGCAGTTGTAACGTTTGGAGATTATAACTAAAGAAGATAACGGCAAAACCCGAGAGGCAATCAAAACCTTCTATGTTGTCTTAGAAAGGTGAAATTTGATATTCTGTAGTGGGTTCTCGAACACCTTTATTACTGCAAGAGAAAGTAAGTTTAGTGAAAACAAATGTTATAGTTGCTTCTCTTTTCTCTTCTGAATATATGGAACACTATATATAAACCGTTTTATACCATTTTTTAGGTGGATAATTTCCTAATTTTTCAAATCTGTACAGTCAGGTAATTTTTGTGTACAAGAATACTATTGAGACTTTTGTTAGTCTTTTATCAATCAATGAATCAATCAATCGATAAAGTTAAACTTTTGCGTCGAAAGTACGATTGGCATTGCTTAAATACATCAAAATACAAAATGCTATAGATATAAATGCATTGTGTATATTCTATACATTTTACACAGACAAATATGAAAACAAACATGAAAATAAATGAAAACATTATCACGCAAAATAAACAAATTCAACACGATGGAACCAAGAACGTTGTCAAAGAACAAGTAGCCTGAGTATATGTTTTGCAATTCAAAAATAAGATTCTGTGCCTGAATGTTTTGGAAGTTGACTGGAAAGGTGTATTAACGAGCGTAGTGAGCCTATTTTCAATTGCTGGATTTAATTCAAAGTTCAATATTATTGGTAATACATTTAAAGCAAAAAACCTTCGAACATATTCATATTTCGATATCAACTAAGACTCCAAATATGTTAGTCATATAGTTTAATCCATTCTATTTTCAGGCTGGAAGCAAAATGAACAATACCAGGAAAATTGACACCGCTGCACGACAACTGGAGTGATTTCTTAATAGTTAGCGATTATATTATATTATCTGTATAAATCTAGCAAGTAAATGGTACACATTTTGTAAAAAGTGTTTTCGTTTTTTACCGGGTTTTTTGTTCTTCTGAAATATTGATGGACAGAGAAACTTAGAAAAATCAGTCAATACCTACATAATTTTGCCTTCCTCAAAAAAGGCTGAAGTCATTCAAAATCGTTCGAAGCTTCCAATCAACTGCGACTCGAATCTAAGAAATTCCAGGTAGATTGAATCAAGAAAGTTTCCATGTATAATTTTAATATTTTGTGTGAATTGGTTGATATCTGAAGATGTTATCCGTAAGATGTTAGGGCGGTGGTGCTATCCTACAAGCTGTCATCGAAAAATACTTACTAATACCATTGGAGTATAACAAAACAATTCACTACATAATATTCTTCATTAAAGCACCATATATAGTGTTTACTTCTATACGGTGATTAAAGGTTGTTCCAAAAGGTCCGCGATGGTATATGTATTTCCATTAAGGATAGCTTACCCATTACAATGTTGAAAATAGTCACATATAATATGTTAATAATAGAACAGTGCTTTCAAAAAATTGTTCTACATCGCCATCTAGTGGCGAATTACAGAAAAATTAATAGCCTAAAAACCTTCTCTATGAAAAATTATTTATACATGTCAAGTTTCATCACGATCGGTTGAGCGATGTAGAAGTTTATCACTTATTAACCAACAAACATCCATTTTTATATATATGACTAGCTGGGATATCCAGTGGTTTTTAAGGAATTTCCCTGTTCTTCAAATTTCAGATATCAGATATCTCGAATAATTTTAAGATATTTACAAGAAAACACTTCTTTCTCTACTAACTTGTTCATTACGTTTGCAATTTTTGCCTCCTCATCATATCATTAAGTTTTAAGACGCCATTCCGAATCATTATTGGCTACAAGTACAATATTCAAATGAAATAAGTTATTCCTTGAGGTATATGTCTTCAATGCACAAATAATTTTTTTTAATTCATCATCTTGGCCTAGTCGAAAGCTCAACTCTATTGACAGTTGGTTTATTTGCTGAGGTATTTAGCAACTAACCCAGATCGATCAGTTGATAACTAGTGGATCAATTTGTCAAGGCCAATTAGACGGCAACCTTGATTTAGATGAATTGACACTGTTCAATATCGTCATCGCTTCTAAAATTTGGGGAAGCCACTTTGTAATAGTCCTTTCAGTCCATACCATTTTGGCGAATGTGTGCAACTTTCTACAAATACACTGCGGACGTAAGTAGTCCCTTAGTCTAAACTTTTGAACTGGACACGACATCGAAAGAGGATACAATTTTCGTAAAAATGTAACATTTTTAGTTCCTAGTACACAATAGTGGTGCATCACTTGTCGCAGAAAGAAATCTACCAACTTTTTTTCAGACGATATATAAGTATCACAATTTAAAAAAATGTTTTCAAAATTTACTTCAGTTCATTTCAATAGATAGTTGCATTCAAAATGTGTGTCATCCTCCCTAACAATAATGATGTCTACGGATTCATTTCAAACTGACTAACTGAAATCGTGATTTATCAACAATTTTCTCAAACGATGATTTTGAATAATCTGTATTTTCAAATGTGAGTCGAAGTTTACTTTTCATCAGACATCACAATTTTCTATAGGTAACATTTTCTTCTCAATCCAATATTATCATCCAATACTATGTACCATTTATGTGAGAAGTTCTAAAATACAAATCATGAAATTAATTATAAAACAACAACAAAAATTAATTGGCGCTCCGAGGCGACTTCATTGATTCCAGTGGCGCATTTGCTTTTTCAGCTGCAGGAAAACCAGGAAAAACCTGCAGCACTACATCAGCTGAAAATCTTTATCTGCCAATATCCTCTCTCTCATAAAACAAAATGTAGGGTGTCTCCAGAGGCTTCACTAAATTCAATGCATCGCCAGAAAACTTAATGACACGACTATCGTCAAACTTAAACTAGTCTGTTTCGTCTTTGACCAAGGCTTAACAATGACCAGATTCAACGCCAGAACCACAGTGAACAATGACTGCATGAAGATTATAATAGTGGTCTGCTAGATTAAAGTATTAATCTGTTTCGAACCTTCGTAAGAGTTTGGTGCTTCCGTNTGAAAACTCTCTATAGGAAATAACAATATACCTTTCTCTCTACAATACTCAATTATCAATACTCAATTCTCAGGCTTTAACGTTAAATTCAATTTCAAACATAAAACGTCAATGAAACTAAACGACTTGTTTGTTATAAATACTTTTTTGGAGATCTCCATCATCAAATCATTGAAATAGATACTGTCTATCTATTCATCATCGTGATAAATTAAATAGTAAAAACATCAAACTCTAAAATTGCATATGGAAATAAAATCCATTTATTAATCAGTTTAATATATAAAAAATAAATTATAATACAAATATAAAATAACTGCCTACCTTAACAGAGCTTTAGCTGTCACAATATATTGAAACATTTGAACACATATAAACTTTATGACTTGTGTACCAATCAAAAAGAAGAACGCAAGTTGAACAAATGAAATTAACAGTAAATCGTTCCTCCTTCTGCAATTTCAGTTCAGGTACACAGCACAAATGAGTTCAAATTGATCACATACAAACATCTTAGTAACAATAATTAATTGAAAGTAGGGTTATCAATTCCCTGCTTCTCATCCTTTCTGGTTCCTGAGAGAAGCTCTTGTACTTCGGCGAGCGTTTTTCCCTTGGTTTCCGGAACGACTGAATATACAAAAATGGTACCAATACAGGAAATTACCGCAAAAATATAAAACGTCGAGTCGCTCCCTATGGAAGACCTCAAATCCACGTTAAACTTAGTAACGATGAAAGAGAGAAACCAATTGAAAGTTGCTGCCGAAGAAACCGCGACGGACTTGATTTCCTCTGGCATCAATTCCGAAGAAATCATCCAAGGGATAGGACCGAACCCGATAGAAAACATCGCTATAAATACAATTAGGCACAAAATTGGCAAAAATCCAATTTTCTCCAGTTGGCTATCGTCCAAAATATCCCGATCTTTCAGCGTGAAGAAAATTCCTAAAGTAAGTCCCGAAATCATCATGACGGCTGCGGAGAGGATGAGCAAAATTTTGCGACCGAATTTATCTACAACCATGGACGAAACAAAGGTTGCAATGACCTGTACTACTCCTACAATTATGCTGGCAGTCGAAGGTTCTAAAGACGTTCCTGATGCTTTAAAAATATCGCTGAGGTAGAAAATAACCGCATTCACTCCACTCATTTGCTGGAAAAACATAAGACCAAAGCAAATACAAAGCGCTCGGATGCTCGCTCTACTACGAAGTGCAACAAAAAAAGGAACATTGGCCTTTTGATCATTTTCTATAGCTTCACGAATCTCCTTGATTTCATTATCAACGTTATAAGAAGAGCCCCGTAACCTTTGTAAAGATTTTATCGCTTCGGATGTTTTATTTTTTTTCATCAAATAGACAGGAGTCTCCGGCTGAAAAAAGAAGACGGCCACGAAGATCAGAGGAATCACAGCGCATAGTATGGAGACATTTGTTGGAGACATGCAAGCCCCTGCCACGTAGGTTATCAGTATCCCTACCACTAACAGCAGTTGGAAGAAACTACCCAAGGTACCACGGATATCTTTCTGAGCAATTTCGCTGGTATAAAGCGGTGCTGCTACACAAAATGCACCTCCTGCCAGACCCGTCAAGAATCTTCCCGCGTATATCATGCCGGGGTTGGAAGAAAATATGATGAGCAGCCAACCTATGCTGAAAGGAAAGACCGTCATGATGCATCCCCATTTTCTACCGATGATGTCGATTAGAATTCCTATCGGAAAACACATCACCATAGCTCCAAGGCTCATGAAGGATCCGATCCATCCTAAAGAGGATTCATCTATGAAGATGTCGTTCAACTCTGCTTGCTTTAGTTTTTCTGATATGTTGCCCGTCCAGCCCAGTACGGTTCCGGCAGCGACAGCTCCCAAACATACTGGAACGAAAAGTGTTTGTTAATAAAGTGTGAATAATGTGGATGTGAATAATATACAGCGTGACAAATTAAAGCCGCATCGTATTGGACTTTTTGACTAATAACTTCGAATTGAGAAATAAGCAAAAATACTAGCGATTCAAAGTATCTGTAGAATTTAATTTTTGTTGAATTTTTCATTCTACCATTATGATTGTATTCAATTTTTTTTCAAAAATGAGGTTATTTCTCAAAGTACCAAAAAAGTTTAACGCATTTTTCAGGCTGCATGAGATAATTTTGAATTTTTATTCATTTTTATAAATAACACCACTGCTCCAAAAGCCTAAGCACCCATATGATAATAGTAAAAATAATACATTTTCTATTTAGCATTTCTAAAAATCACAAATGTTGTAACTGAGTTTAAAGGTGATTGACAATGTTTCATGATGAATTTCATTAGTTCGGACTTCCATTGTCTGATATTATATGAAATGATTTGAAATCCCTGAAAGAACTAAAAAAAGAAGAATAAAAAATGAATAGCTGAAAATAACAAATATATTAAGCACGACGTGTCGATTGTTATTTACACAATCGTCTTCGGGTGATGACTGGACTGATTCCTCTGAGAGATGACTATTTATGGGTCATTCGAGAACTTTCACTTATCCCCGCTTTCCATTTTCCGCTTCACTGGTTTAGTGGGAGATGACTGTTTGGCGGGAGTAGGCCATTTTTCGCTTGATGATGGGTTTCCATATGTTGCGTATCTCTACGCTAGCTTGACTGAATACGTTGTTGGACATCATGTATACGGCTTCTTTGAATTTCCTCTTAAACCAATGTTTCTTTCTGTATATGATCTCAGCTTGGGACCACTCGATGTTATGTTGATGGGTCCAAACATACTCTGCTATTCCTGATTTGCTGGTTTCCCCTCGCTGGGTATGTTTCTTGTGCTCGAAATGCAAACTTTCAATGGGCTCTTAGTTTCTCCCATTTACCATTTTCCGCACTCATAGGGTATCCGGTAAATGCAATTCTTGGAATCGCAGTCCGCGTTTGGTGGCCTGGTTTTTGTGAGGCTGCTACGGATAGTGTTTCCGGATCTGAAGCAGGTTCTGATGTTGTACTTGGAACCAATTCTTCTTATCCTTTCCGATAATCCTCTGATGTAGAGAAGTTCAAGCACTGGTTGTGACGGCTTCTCTTCCTTGCGAGGCTCCTGTTGTCTTTTAGCCAAAGTCTTTNATGGTAGGTACATTATCTGTGTGAAAGCTAATTTCTTGGTTTTTGACCATGGTCTGCAGCTTTATATCTCTGACTTTTCGTCTACTGATGCGGTATACATTATCAAAGGTCTACCGCAGTAGTATCTCCGACCGTGAAAGATTGCATTCTCAGTACATTATCTGTAAGAAAAACGAATGGTTCTGGTAATCCTGTTTCTATATTTATTTGAATTAATTTTTTGAGTGATAAAACTGAAATATCATGACAAAGCGCATCAAGGAGTTATTTTACAAATACAGTTAATCTTCTTCATAAAAATTAAAACTTACCAGAAATTGCTGCCACATATTGCGGTAATGTTTTTGATGTCCCGTTATCCGCCATTTTATTCTGAAACGGAAAAGGAAACTTGAAAAACTAATTGAATGTAACCATGTGACAAGTTAAATGAAAATAAAAAAATATTAATATTCGTTCATAATATTCGTTTCGTACATGAGGAATATTCAAGTTATTTGCCAAAACTTTTGGGCCTGGTTTGGTTGGCACGACCCAACATATGTGATTAAATATAGTGATAAATTACCATTAATATAATGAATGGACCTGTAATGGACCTCTTTTTCCTATAGCTACACATGGCACCCCTTATGGGACAGTAAGTAAGAATCCGACCCTGAATCTATAGAGGAAATGGGTGTGAGACTGTTCTGGAATGTTTCAGAATGACCTAGGACTATTCCTGAAGATTACACAACATTCCAGAATGTTCCAGCATATTGTGGAATGCTCTCGAATACCCTAGAATGTTCTGAACTGTTCTAAAATTTGCTAAGATCTTCAAAAGCACGCCCTTCTGGTAAAAACGGACACATTTTTCTTGGATGGGATATAGAGTACTACCACATCATATAATTCCCTTGATCGTGCCACAATAATCTGGAATGTTCCCAAACGCCCCAGATCATTACTGAAAATGCCACACTACCACGATACTGGTCATATCGAAGATATCAACGAACCGGGCAAAAGTTATAAAATGAAATAAAATAAGATATTTTGTTAGACGTTGAAGAGAATTCACACAAATCCACAAGAAAAATTGTTGCACAGAACAGTAGGTACCAATGAAGTATTGCGAGTTCCATGCCTATAACCTCAATTTGACCATACCCAAAACCGCTCATTTATCTGAAACCGATTATCCCCCTCCATGGACCATCCACCTTCCTTTAACCAACATTACCAACAACCATTTCGAACCCATCAGCTTATATTCACAGACGCCTCTTGTTCCAATAACGGCGTTGGCGCCGTTTCCAACACAAATGAATTCAATGCAAAATTCAAACTACCATTGCCAACCTCTATCTATACTGCAGAATTGACAGCAATTCTTGAAGCGTTGCACTACATAAATCTTCATAACATTCGGTTTTGATGAAGAAAAAAACAAAACTATCAAATATTCATCAAAACAACATTCAAATCCAATTTCTTTGGGCTCCCTCACATATCGGAATAGAGGGCTATGAGAAGACCGATAGTTTAGCCAAGGATGCCACAAAACTTCAAGAGTGCACAATTACTTGCCCTGACATTTAATATAACGATCTAAAACTCCTCGAGAGAGAAGTAGTCCCATTGTGCTTCATCTGTGAAACAATATCAACTATGAAACACTTTTTGGTGGAGTGTCCGCTATACACAGATAAGAGATTAGCAAATGAAATGAAAGATCTTAAAGTGTTAGTGAACGGTCAGTCAAACAATAAACTATTAGAATTACTGAAAGACATCAATTTTCTACATAAAATATGAGTTACTAGTTACTACTGAAAAACTTATTGTAGTCAATGTAACAAAAAACATATTATGTAAATTACTGTGAAGCCAATAACCCCTGGCGGTTGAGGCTTAAAAAAGAATCCAATTTGTCTACGAACTAAACGAGGATGATCCCGATTGAAGAAGCGGATCATGCATGGTAATGGTAATGGTAATACAGGTGCCTGAGGGATTTATAGAAAAAACATTCTTTGGCAAATTTACTTTTTTATTAAATATGAGTTACTAGTTACTACTGAAAAATTTATTGTAATACAAAAAACATATGTGAATTACTGTGAAGCAAATAACCCCTGGCGGTTGAGGCTTAAAAAAGAATCCAATTTGTCTACGAACTACACGAGGATGATCCCGATTGAAGAAGCGGATTATGCATGGTAATGTTAATGGTAATGAAGGTGCCTGAGGGATTTATAGAAAAAACATTCTTTGGCAAATTTACTTTTTTATTGAATGCAGCAGTCAACAAATAGGATTGTCCATACTGGAACCATGAACATCTTCAATGGGTAATCAACGCCCACACTGAAAGTCATTGTTCTATATTTTTTCAACAGGTTATTTCAAACATTTTTTTCAGAGAAAGTCTTAACGAATTTGATTATAGTATCTGATGTGAAAAAGTTGGAGCTCCACTGCGTTTTGAACTGACGTTAGACCTTATTCAGGCGAAGTTTTTCCAATCGTTGAATTGGCAGGCCTGGTATGATAGAATAGCCAAACTCATTCTTCCAATTTGACTCCGTTCGATTATTTCTCATTATTTAAAACCGAATCAGGCCAGACGAAGTTGAGGTTTGAAAGGCAATTTCAGTCACAAAACTAATTAAATTACATGATAGATGATGGTCCCACGGCTATGATTTTCACTCCCGATTCAGACGTCACTTTGGAATATGTATTTTATACGAAGCGATCTCTCCTGTCGACAAGAGGAAATTCTGGAGCCCCAAAATTTTGATGCTATGTGGTTTAAAATAATATCAGAGAAGATCACTAAATTCATATGATGGGTTTATCGACCACTAAGCGATACACAATACGAGTATAGGGCACTATTCTCTTTACTTGCAAATACCATTGACATTTTCCAATGTCTACAATATCAAAAGGCTCAAATTTTCAAATATCAACGACGAATATGCTAGTCTCCTGGATCTATGTAAACCTAACAACCAATCCAGAAATTTACACATTCACCGTAAGGTCTCCGTTGGGATCTTCTGACGTCAAACTCATTTCAGTGTTGAGTGAATTACCGATAAATGTTGGGAAACAATATAAGCCGCGCAAAGTTTGACATTACAGATCTGCTGAGTGAGAGTATCCTCAAGACCATTTCCGAAATTGTCCCTGGCTAGATGTTTGTTTCAGCTCTAATGATTCATCAACTTGTGCCTTTGAAGTCACGGGAGTAATTTCATCATCCATGGATGCATAAATTCCTTTTTGATGAAACGAACGTCAAACGGAAAACCTTGGTTCAACAAAGATTACGAGCAAGCTGTCGCCTCCCAAAAAACTCGCTTACCGGCAGTGACGCAAATATCCCAGTGCCGAGAACGGAACTCGGTTTGTTAATGCTCGCAACAGCTGCAAACTTAGAATGAATGAAAGCGAAGAACTTCACAATCAGAGAATTAGGGATAAACTACTTGCTAATCCCAACGAATCTAGCTTCTTCTGGTCGGTAGCTAAAGCTGTAATCAAAACTTCACAAAATCCACAATTCCATCACTAACACAGGCGGATGGTTCAATTGCAAGAACAGCCATAGAAAATGCAAATCCACTAGCTGAACAATTTGCGTCCCACTCCACAGTCTATTTTCTGAGAAAGACACCACCCACTATTCCCAACACCAAAACCCATGGAAGATTGCTCGCATTCAGCCTATTCCCGAAAAAAACAAGGAAAAACTTCCAAATAACTATAGACCAGTCGCTTTACTATCAGTGATCTCAAAAATCATGGAAAAAGTCGCAAACCGCCATATTCTCAAATATTTGGAAGACTTTAACATCTTGAGCGATCATCAATATGGCTTTCGGAAACAAAGATCGACAGTCGACATTCTAGAGTATGTCACCCATATTTGGAATAACGCAATCGAGAAACATATAAAGTCAAGCGCTGTTGCGCTTGATATTTCTAAGGCATTTGACCGTGTGTGGTATGAGGGTTTGCTATGGCTTGACGGATCATTTTTGATCCGCAACGCAAATGTTCCCCAGGGATCCATATTGTCTCCAACCCTCTATTTATTGTACATCAACGACTTATTGGAAAAAAACAAGAATCCAATATATTGTTGAGCTGACGACGATACACTTGTGTCGTCGTTCCATTTGGATTCCAGGTCACCGGCTACGGATGTACATGTTCACCGCCAGCAGGAGGTAGCATATCTTAATGAGGACCTAGAGGTGATTTCCAATTGGGGTAAAAGTAACCAGGTTCAATTCAATACCACGAAAACCCAGGCATCAGTTTCCTGCAAAAAGGTAAATGTCTCCGAACTGAATATAATAATGTCAGGACAGACAATTCCGCTCTCTGCTTCGATGAGTTTGTTGGGGGTTTAAAATGGACATCAATGTGTCTTGGCACAATCAAATCGCTGGAATTGCAAAGGCATGCTTCTCAAAAGCTCGAAACACTGTTCCATACCAGAAAAGTGTACACACTTCAGCAACTTTTGATGCTTTATAAAGCTCACATCAGACCTTTGGAGTATTGATCTCATGTATGGAGCTCCGCCCCCCAAGCATACCCTGAAGCTGCTGGATTCCATCCAGAAAAGAGCCATTCGACTGGTTGGAGATACGAACATCATTTACAACGTTGATAATAATAATAGTAATAATACTTTATTTTCATAAAGACATGCTGATACATGTGTAGAATTTGTCATAAAAATAAAACTAAAAACTAAGACTAAAGCTCTTCCAAGGAATAAAATCCACCATTCAACAGGTACTTCCTAAGACATTGTTTGAATGCTTTCAGTGTTATACATGATTTAATTTCGGGGGGAAGTTTATTGTACAACCTTTGCCCAGTTACAGTGGGTGATCTATATAAAGGATTAGTTCTTGAAAATGGCACATATAAATCATTCCGCTGTCTTGTAATAATATTGTGAATTTGTTAATTGGTTTTAAAAGAGTTTAAATTACAAAATACAAAAACACACACTTCAAATATGTACAAACACAAGGTTAAGATTTGATAGGTGAGCCAGTAGTAGAGAGCCAAAAACTTTCTTTCCCAAAAATTATCTCTCCTAAAAATATAAACCCTTCAATTCAAATAAGATTCCTCGGCTGGGATTGAATCAAATAGGTGAATGAATGACATTACGATGTCATCGATGACATAAGCAGATCAAGCTTATTCCGTGACATTAAAAATCATAATTCATGAATGAACTGTGTGTATTTTCTATAATGTTATCCAATTTGGTACTGAAGAGCTTTGGGACAAGTATCTTAAGGCGAAACATCGGTGTATACCAGTGAGGGTGACAGTGTTCCATGTAA